GTTTACACCTGTTACTCGTGAAGGAGCATAGGCCGCTCACCAGCATTCTCCATCCAACCCTGTCCTGGGCAATCCTTTCCAGCTCCGTCCAGTTGTAATTCATCCTTTTCATATCTGCTTCTATTATCCGACGCAATGTGTTCTTTGGCCTTCCTCTTTTCCGCTTCCCTTCAGGATTCCAAGTTAGGGCTTGCCTCGTGATGCAGTTTGACGATTTGCGTAATGTATGTCCTATCCATTTCCATCGTCTTTTCCTAATTTCTTCTTCAGCTGGAAGTTGGTTTGTTCTCTCCCACAGAAGGCTATTGCTGATGGTATCCGGCCAATGGATGTTGAGTATCTTGCGTAGACAGCTATTTATAAATACTTGTACTTTCTTGATGGTGTTTGTAGTTCTCCAAGTTTCAGCTCCATACAGTAGAACTGCCTTGACGTTCGTATTGAAGATTCTCACTTTGATATTGGTTGAAAGTTGTTTTGAGTTCCATATGTTCTTCAATTGTAGGAATGCGACCCTTGCTTTGCCGATCCTCGCCTTTACGTCTGCATCTGAACCTCCTTGTTCATCGATGATGCTTCCCAGGTATGTGAAGGACTCTACATCTTCCAGAGTTTCGCCATCAAGAGTGATTGGATTGCTGTTCTCCGCTTTGAATTTGAGGACCTTGGTTTTCCCTTTGTGTATGCTGAGGCCTACTGATGCAGAGACTGCTGCTACACTGGCTGTCTTCATCTGCATCTGTTCGTGTGTACGTGATAGGAGGGCTAGGTCGTCTGCGAAGTCCAAATCGTCTAATTGATTCTGAGCTGTCCATTGTATTCCGTGTTTTCCTTCAGATGTCGAGGTCTTCATAATCCAGTCGACCACCAGAAGAAAGAGGAAGGGAGAGAGTAAACAGCCTTGTCTGACTCCAGTCCTTACTTGGAATGCATCTGTCAGCTGTCCTCCATGCACTACTTTGCACTGTAGTCCGTCGTATGAGTTCCGGATAATGTTGACAATCTCAGGAACTCCGTAGTGTCGAAGAAGTTTCCATAATGTCCTCCTATCTACACTGTCGAATGCCTTTTCATAATCAATGAAGTTGATGTATAGTGATGAGTTCCACTCAACTGATTGTTCGACGATGATCCGTAGTGTTGCAATTTGGTCTGTGCACGACCGATCCTTACGGAATCCAGCTTGTTGATCTCGAAGTTGGGCGTCTACTGCATCCTTCATCCGGTTCAGCAACACTCTGTTGAAGACTTTCCCTGGTATTGACAGTAGTGTAATGCCTCTGTAGTTTTCACATTTGCTCAGATCTCCTTTCTTTGGAATCTTGACGAGGTGTCCTTCTTTCCAGTCCATCGGCACTTGTTCCTCCTCCCAAATCTTTTTGAATAGAAGGTAAGCATGCTTGTGGTTGCTTCGATGTCTGATTTCAGTGCTTCAGCTGGTATGTTGTCGGGTCCTGCTGCTTTCCCGTTCTTGATTTGTCTGACGGCCATTCTAATTTCTTCCGTCGTTGGTGGGTTGACATCTATAGGAAGATCTATGTGTGCTGCTTCGATGTCCGGTGGATTCATTGGAGCCGGCCTATTCAGGAGTTCCTCGAAGTATTCTACCCATCTGTTACGCTGTTGTTGAATTTCGGTGATTGGCTTGCCTTCTTTGTCTTTGACCGGCCTCTCTGGTTTACTGTATTTCCCTGCTAGTTTCTTCGTTGTATCGTGAAGCTGTTTCATATTTCCTTCTCTAGCAGCTTTTTCTGCCGTCGTTGCTAGTTCTTCCACGTATTTCTTCTTGTCGGCTCTAATGCTCCTCTTCACTTGTTTGTTTGCTTCTATGTATTCAGCTTGTGCTTGGACTTTCTCTGCTCGTGTTCGGCTGTTGTTAATTGCTGCCTTCTTGTTCTTCCTTTCTTTGATCTTGTCCAGTGTTTCTATAGAGATCCATTCCTTATGATGGTGTTTCTTTAGGCCCAGAACCTCTTGACACGTTGAAGTTAATGCTTCCTTGATGCCTTTCCAGTTGTCCTCCATAGTAGTTTCTTCTTCTTCAGTAGATCTTGTAAGGCTTGGAACCTGTTGTTGAGAGCTATCTTGAATTCATTGAGTTTGTCAGTATCTCGAAGGAAGGCTGTATTGAACCTTTGTAGTGCTGTTTGTCCAGTTCTTTTTTAGCTTCAGTTTTAAATTGGCTACAACTAGGTGGTGATCTGAAGCTACGTCAGCACCTCTCCTGGTTCTCACATCTTCCATTGTCCTTCGGAATTTTTTGTTGATGCAAATATGATCTATTTGGTTCTCTGTAGTGTGGTCCGGTGAGATCCATGTAGCCTTGTGTATACGCTTGTGTGGAAATATTGTGCCTCCTATGACCAATTTGTTGAATGCACATAGATTTGCAAATCTTTCTCCATTTTCGTTTCTTTCTCCCAGTCCATGTCGTCCCATAATATCTTCATATCCGATGTTGTCTATTCCGACTTTGGCATTTAGATCTCCCATCAGAATAGTGAGGTCCTTTCTTGGGCATTTCTCTATGATTGACTGCAGCCGCTCGTAGAACTGATCTTTAATGTCGTCGTTGCTATCATTGGTGGGTGCATAACATTGGATAATATTCATTAAGATCCCCTCCTTCTTTGTTTTGAATGATGCTTTGATGATTCTGGATCCGTGAGATTCCCATCCTACAAGTGCATTTCGTGCTACTTTGGACAGCATTAGAGCGACTCCCTGAGTGTGTGGAGCATTTTCCTTTTCGTGACCGGAGTATAGCAGCACCTCTCCCGTAGCTAGCCTTTTCTGTCCACCTTGGGTCCAGTGGGGGGGGTCGCATTCCTACAATTGAAGAACATATGGAACTCAAAACAACTTTCAACCAATATCAAAGTCAGAATCTTCAATACGAACGTCAAGGCAGTTCTACTGTATGGAGCTGAAACTTGGAGAACTACAACAACCACCATCAAGAAGGTACAAGTATTTATAAATAGCTGCCTACGCAAGATACTCAACATCCACTGGCCGGATACCATCAGCAACAGCCTTTTGTGGGAGAGAACAAAGCAACTTCCAGCTGAAGAAGAAATTAGGAAAAGACGATGGAAATGGATAGGACATACATTACGCAAGTCGGCAAACTGCATCACGAGGCAAGCCCTAACTTGGAACGCTGAAGGGAGGCGAAAAAGAGGAAGGCCAAAGAACACATTGCGTCGGATTATAGAAGCAGATATGAAAAGGATGAATTACAACTGGAAGGAGCTAGAAAGGATTGCCCAGGACAGGGTTGGATGGAGAATGCTGGTGAGTGGCCTATGCTCCTTCACGAGGAGTAACAGGCGTAAGTAAGTAAGTAAGTAAGTTGGGTCCAGTGGGTTTCGCTGATTCCCAGTACTGCCAAATTGTATCTCCTCATTTCCGTTGCTATTTCACTGGTCTTCCCGGTCTCCCACATTGTTCGGACGTTCCATGTACCTATAAAAATTTTTGCTCTGGTTGTTAGAAGGGGCATCGGCCTCGTGGCTTCCGAAGGAACTCGGCTTTCATCATGAAGCGTCATAATTCTTCTAACTGAAGACCTTCTAACTCCCAGGGCAGGGTTAAAATGGTTTTAATAATTTTTTCTGGTAAGCGTTTTTTTAGCGAGTTAGTTTTCTACGGGATGGGATCGCTAACCCCATGCCCAGTTTTCCTCCTTTACCCGGTCATGGGACCGGTAGTAACTCTAGAAGAGCTGTAGGCGGAGTTTAGAATACCATAGATAACCAGAAAATGTTATCAACATACAAAGTAACTGGTCGTCAGTCTCAGCCGTGTCGCTAAATTTAGACTATTTGATCGCATTCCCCTCGATCATTGGTTGGAGACGGTCATTCTACGCACCCCAATAACGTGTCTAAAACCTAATAGTTCCACTTTTTCGTTTTTTTCTCTAGTTCACCTTCAAACCGCTCCTCATGATTGCATATAGGGGTAGGTATTAGCTGAGCATACTCAACATATCCGAACTACCTCAGTCGATGAATATTCACCTCACCGGTTGATTTACACTTTTCTCCTATTTCCCTACGTCCTACCTTGACATTGTTCAATCGGTGGTCACAATATACAAAAGATACAAGTTTACGAAAGTCAAGCAACCTTTCTAAATCTGTGCTGAGATTTTTCAGACACCAATTCAGAAGGGTTAATGATAAATTGAGTAATAAATGCGTTCGGAAGCTTTATTTCCTCTAGTCAATCTAAACTATGCAACAGGTTGGTCTACGAAAGTAAGCGTGCTTACCAGTATATCACCGTCCTGTCTACTTCTTGCATGAAGTGTTCATTGTGATGATGCACAGATAAGTACTCCATTGCTGAGGTTTGTTTAATGTTGTGAGATATAGCTGTTTGATTACATTGGCGAGAGCAGTAACTGGATAGTATTAATAGTTTGGAAATTTCTGTGACTTGTGACGAAATATTTTACCATAGATCATGTTTCTAAATTCCCATCACCACTAAACGATTTACATTTTTAAACAGTCACTCTTATCACTAACATTCTAAATCGTAGAATTAATTAATTGGTAGGTGTTTGTAACTCACGGTACATTTCGTGATCCTCATTTAACAACCATGTCTATCTGCATGAAATGTCGATTATTTTAACATCTCTATATTCCTAAAAATCTTTGTTGTTCGGTCGTATAAATGCATCTAATGTAATTTTCAGTAATAATGTATGCAAATTACCAAAGCAAAGCTGTTTTAAACGTTATATAAAACCTATCTGACCGAAATCAAAGATCTCCTGGAGCCATTGTTGGTTTGTCGTTACAATCAGATAGTCAGTAACTACACATACGATTAAAAATTCATTAGTTTATTGTGGTGAAAGTTGTTTTCAATGCAGTTTATTCCTATTCATGAGGTAAACAACGTTAAGTTTAAGAAAGACAACCTATATATGTTTTTGTTCGCTAACACATTTCAGACATTTTATTCTCAACCTTCATATAGGGATGTCGAAAATGTCACACAATCCCACTCCTGCTTCTGTTCCAGTTGAAAATTCTGCTTTAGATTCTGTTGAAGCAGCTAAAGCTAAACAGAATTCTTTACGTGAACGTTTAGCTGCAAGACGTCAACTTTTAGCTTCTGTTACCCATTCTACTAAAACTTCGTCTTCCGCTTCCTTACTTACAAATAATAGCAGTACTGGAATTGGTTCAATTTGCAAACCTTTTAATGTTAACCAGTCAACTGTTTCTGTTATCGAGAATGCATTGAAACGAAAACTCGGTGATAATAATATAACGAGTGTGTCGTCTGATACACTTTCAGTCAATTCTCAGTCGAATATAACTTCTTTATCAGGATTATTAAATTCGTCATCTAGTAGCTGTGATCATATTGGAAAATGTCCCTGTCACAAATCGCAAAATGTATCTACTGTCGATTCGAAGCAATCAGATCACAGTTGTAATTTACTCGATAAATCATGTAAGTGATTTAGTTGACTTATTATGAGTTTTCCTACTGCAAATAAGATGTATAACTCTGTTACTTTCAGTAGAGTAAGAACAACATTGGTGATAAAAGAATAAATATAAGTTTATTTGTGTCATAGATTTTGTCTGGTCGCTTGTAACTTGAAATATCTTTATTAATTATTTGGAAGGGAAGATTCATACCATGTTTACAGGGTAACAAATGTAAACTTATAATTGTTCTACTTAACAAGAAATTGAGAGACAAAATGAATAGAATGCAGTGTTGGCTAGTGCAAGTTAGGAGAAAGCTAAGAGCATCCACGTGAAGTTGTGACTCGAATTTATAAAGGTATTATATAGTAGTAGTTACAAACTACCTGGCTGGAGTTCACCCAACTATTATGAGTGACGATTAGCGTTGTTGGGTGATAATCGGTTGCAACGTCATGGATGCATTCGCAATTTATCTTCCCTTATGTTTATGCGATGTCAAGTCATTCAGACTAGTGGCCTCGTTACAACTAGATCGATAGAATTCTATCATCACTAGACAAACACAACATTTGTGACTACCACTCAGTTTAAGCTATTAACTTGTATATGACTACGAGCTTTACCATTCCTAACTTTGAGAAGTATGCACTATCTCCAAACCTCAAATCGTTCGTAACATTCGAATTTTATGCCCAAATTTTTACACCGTCTTAATGATACCTAAAATAATACTATTGTAAACCGGCGATCGATACTGTTTTTACTATGGTTAGTGAAATATCACTTGCAGGGAATAGCCTGACCAACTAGCTTAGTATAATCTAAATATGGAACATTTATTTCGTCCATAATAATCTGGGTTTATTAAGTGTTTACTAAACTGTTCTTACTGAAAAAAATCGGGCCATATGGTATTGTGGTGTGTGCTACTTATATCGACATAAGTAGTATGTGACGTTAGTCATGAACGGAATGTCTGGCAGCAGAGAGACAAGATGATCGAACAGTAAAGAATGGAGACAAAATGCAATTTGTATGGAAATGTAAGAACAATAAAGTCTGAGTCATTTTGAGGCAATTGATGCACATTTTGCAAATTAAGCATTTACTATATGATTTTTAGATTTTATTAACAAGTCCTGTAATTTAGTGTCAAATACATTCAATTGTCCCCACTCGTGTTCTGTTCACTACAGTATCACTGATCACATGATTCTGATGCGTTTTTATGATTCATAATTCCCATTATTTTTCATACCAAGTTTTATTTTATCAACATCTTATGATGAAATAATCTAGACTTCGTTTTCGATAAGTTTTACTCATTTTTCCTCTTTTTTTCAACCAACTGTACCCTCTGTGTTGATCTTAACTAATTACTCGGTTACTTGGATCAGCTGATTTCGAAAAATCAATTCCTAAACAGTCAAGGTAAGTAATACAACTGCCATATTTAACTAGCAAAGTTTTTCTTCGAAAACGTATTTTATTTAAAGACAATATCGGAAACTGGAAATAATGTATAGTTGTTCCATAGTCGATCTAATATATCGTATATTTGAATTTTGTATCACCCATTCTAATTAAGGTAGCTGAACATCGTCATCGGATTCCACATTGGATTTTCGGTCCTACAATGCTTGGTAGAAATAAGATGTTAGCTCTATACATTGCGCAAACTCAATGTGAGCCAGCGATATACGATAGCAACACCCTGAATCGTACTTGTTCCACAATTACTATAATAAAATAAAGATTGACTTTTCGTAAAAGACCTTTTACTGTTTCTATAAAAGTTAAGTTAATAGGACTCATTCGTATGCATAACTCTCTTATTGATTCTGTAATATCTGAAAGAAAATAACGGCAAAGACAAAGTAAACAATAAAAGAGAAGTCAAAGTCATTACCTAAAGTATGGGCAATGGATCTGTAATGAAATTTCGTTGCGCGAAAATAAAAATTTCAATCAATAAATCTTGTTTATTTATTTGGACACCAATATCGGTACATAGGCGCCACATAAGTCACTTGATTTGTGTGTGGGCTATGATATTGCCCGGGTGCACAAACCGAAACAGGTGATTTTCTTAGGGGGCCACACATGGAGCCTTCGACCTAAAGGTCTGATGCACAAGGCAGTGGAGCAACGTCAGGAGATGTATTCCCATGGTAGCCGGTGACCAATAATTGGTTCATACGCCATTTGTTCCTTCATGATCCTGGAACCCATGTGCACCATCGGTTTAGAATCAGGGTTTTCCATCTCCTCTATGTGGATCCTCTGTGTCCACTAACCAGGTTAAAGTGCTGGACATTAGCCTTTCGTTCACTTAATTTTGTAAACAACACCGGTGCCACGAGAAAGCAGTGAGTAGGACTTCCATGGCAGTGGTTGTATACGTGTGGCCATGTGAGAGTATTTGGAGAGGGAGAGCTGACTTTCCTCACCCTCGGTCGTACCAGGGCATTTGGTGGGCAATCATTAAATCTAAAATACAGTATTTTAATAACATCTGTAAAAGACTGATAAACTAGTATATAAATTTATCTGTTTCACGAAGTTTCATAGTCTACTTGAACCCGATAAATATTGGACTTTAGAGCAGAATATTTGGAAATCCAAGTTTATGCCCACTGATTAGATTTGTATCATACGTTTACTAACCATGCATATAGACATAATTCACTACTAGTCACTGAAGCATAAACAAAGATAATATATAGAATTATGATGAATCAGTGAGTTATATGATCACTGTAGTTCTGTGGATAAAATTTATTAGCTCATGTTATTCTGTACTGAATAAGTAAAACCTCTGTGTTGGCTTGAATACTGTGATTTTCTGATACGAATTATCCACGTGTGACCTTAAAGTCTGAACCATTTTTTCTCCCATTTTAATGACAAATTGCATATATTGCAAATGGGTGATTTTCACAATATGATAATTTAAGTCATTTATTTCTCTGTATTAATTGGCATTTGTCTTTTTATGAAATATTTAACTGGTCATTGGAATATTCTTCTAGTGTACCTTCTTAATTCCATGCTATTTGTTAACAAACAAATTTTTTGGTCACGAATTGACGCCAGTTGGAGAACCATTGAAAATCTGGTAGCATTGAGTAGCTGTTTCATTATAGCTTATAGGTCCGTGATAAGAACCGTTTTCACTCTACAAAAACTGTTTAGGGCGCTTAGCGATGTCGTGCAGCACCAAAAGTCTCATAGGAGTTTACTTCATTGACTCCGTCATCGAAACTACAACCTCTAGGTCTTGTAGTGATTGTATCACAGTTGATCAAATCTTTCGCAGTCTGACTTTAATCATAGTTAAGTAAATCGACAGTTTTCTCTTTCATGTACAATTAATAAATACCCATTATGTTATATAGTTAAACTCATAGTAACATTCACTGCTCATACATGTATATATCTATATATAACACCTCTCTGTGTTATGTTCTCGATTAAATCACATGTAAAATTGTCATATTGTATTGTAAAACTTAATTTCTTTCATAGCAGTATTCAACAATTGAAAACATCACATCAACACGTGATCCATACCTCAGAAACAACGCCAATAGACTGTGAACGGAAATCCAATTTTTCTAATATCAGAAAACAATGTGAAAATAATGAGTCAATATCCGATAGAAATAAACGTCCACTAATGATAAATGTAATCATTATCAATCTACTATAAAAGAGACTAATCATGAAATAGAATTTGATTTAGAAAATCTGTTGGGTGCTGAAACGATACGTGAAAAAGAAAGTAAACGAATACGTGAAGAAGTTATGGAATTATTAAACAGACAATCGACCAAAGTAATTGTATATTGAATTACTTTTATGTATTCCATATTATTATTTTGCAATTAAAACGTGGCATCAATCCATAAGGTCACTAGCTTCTTGTCTGAGCCATGTTGGTATGTGCAGAATACTTGGTTGGGGTCCGCGCGTCCATCGTAACCAGTGCTTGGAGACTCTGGGTGACATTGGCTCATAATGGATCACAGTGGCGTAGGTGTATACACTTTATCTTCCCTTAAACCATGAGATTAAAATTGCTTTATACCTTTCACTCTACGAACTAAGTGTTTCTCCTTGTATCATATCTTATATGAAATCTGTTTTTACTATCATTAAAGTAATAGCTTCTATGAATTTAGTGTTGATCTTGTTGTGCTACTGAGGTATGGCAACTTAGACCGATGCATATTTGTACCTAGTCCTATGTTGTAGCCGACTGAATAAGAGATTAATTGACAAGTTTATAGAAACTTCTAATCTCTTCTTTATGAATGTATATTGCTTATCTGGGTAGGATTGTTATCTTCTGCGATTCAGTTCATCTACAAGACAGAAGCTTTGCTTCAACATTCCAACCATTTGTTTTTTATCTTTTGATGGGGTAAACATTGTAATTAATTCACTCGTTTTAAATTTTTTTTAAACTGGATAGTTATGATTACTAATTGTATGCATTCAAGGGTCACTATAAGAAGAATTACAAATTATCTTGAAGTTAAATAATGGACATTTCAAATAGAAATACTATTATTTTTGCCATACTTTCGTGTTTATCTATCCTCTGAAAAAAACGAGATAAATGTATTCTAATTCAAGTACTCTGCTTGATCAATTAGAAAAGAGTTATTGTAGATGAACTGATGGAATATATTGACTTAAAAACATTTACGAAATCTGTCATTGAATAATTACACTGTGATGGATAAACAAACAGAGAAATCATCAATATAGAGCGTGAAACAGATGTTCATTGGCCTAGATTCCTATACCTAATTAGCACCACAACGTAAAAGTAACAAAAGACATCAAAATAGTGTAGGAATTATGGAAGAAAACACTAAACCGTAGAAATATAGAGAAGATAGAATGGAAAAGTATTCGTGAAGAAAAATTGGAGTTCAGCATCAAGAAGATGAATAGTGTGTCTGTGCCACTGCGAACTATTCTGAGCTATATCACCCAAGGTCTGTAACTACTGATCTCTGCAAAGAATTGAGCGTTTTTCACTGTGTGTAAGAATCAAAAGTATCTCAATTGAGCTATTCGTGGTAAGATATAGACAGCTGGTTTAAACTCATGGTTGAATGTTGTTTGTGCTAACGACTGCTTTGAACTTATGAACCAATATTTGGGGGTCTATTGCTTCAACTGATGGAGTATTGTTCTCAAGAACATCAGAATTATAAACCTAAATGTGGTTGAGTGTTTAAGATATTCGACTTCCAGCCACTGAGTTTCAGGTTCGAATTCCATACATCTACTTCAGTTTAACCAACCATGCAGTATCACTTTCTCATACTTAGAGTGTAGCCAAAAGTCGATTGTACAGATATGTACTTCGAAAAGTGAGTTGGTCTTAATAACAATAATAATAACTTCAGGGATATAGCACATTAGATTACAGTATATCAATGAACTCAATGTACCTTTAGTTCTGACATTGACCAAAGCTAAAACCACTCAAACTAATACAATAAAACGATTCAAAATTGTTTGATATATGTAAAAAAACGCGATTTCGTTGACTGATGTCTTATAGATGTCCCTTTAAAAATGAACTTCTCACAAAATATTCGTTTGTCTATCTTGAAACTATAGTTGGGTGGACAGAACGATGCTCTGTTTTGTTTATTAAGTGCGTGTATCCGTCAATTTTATACTGTTTTGTTAGGACGGAAGATTACAAGTTTTTTCTTCCACGATCCTACACTGGACACTTGGTCACTCTATACCAAATAATAGATTATTAAAGATTCAGAATCAAACACTAAGCTGGTCTCTCAGTCAATAGACCGAGAACATTATATGATACGTTCTCATTCAACTAATTTATAACCAGTGTTGGACAAATATAGATCAAAATACACAAATCTATCTGTCTGCTCTTCCTACTCAACCATTTCTCATCCTCACAGGACACATCACTTTCGTGGTTGTAACTCTTACCTTTGCCCCTTTTAACGTTACAATATGTATACTTCCCATGTATAACAGCTTTCTGGAATGATATATATGTAAAGTACATCTTTTTTCTATCTTCAAATATTCTTTACAGGAAAGATTCCTAACCGAACGTTTCCGAACTCAAGGAGGTACGTGTTTATGTATATTTAAATTGAATGCATCTATTTAATTCATCAAATACATAATAAAAACATGTTAATTAGTTAGCATATTTGACTAAAAAATCATATCACGATATTGTTGAGATGAGACAATATTTTTTAATGTTATTTGACTAATTGCTACAGACGTTGAATATTTCTTAACTAGATCTTGTGAATAGTCGGTTGGTGTGATCTGTTCTGTAATAAGAGAAAATTATTACGATAGAGATGCCCAGTTCACTTCACTTTTCACCTGTCCTTCAACCGATATCACTTCATTATGTAGGTGAGGTACTCAAAGAAGAACTATCTAATTCTAATCTCTAGCACTTCACTATTGTTCCATGTGTTTTATTCGTTACAGATTGATCTCAATTGATGCACCGTTGAGAGCCAAGGAGAATTGGACAGTTGTTTCGCCACAGTATGAGGCTACTTAGCACTGCACACATGTGACCCCAGCAGAGACCGAATTCATGACTTTCAGGTCTCGTTGCCAACGCTTAATCAGTAGAACCATCGGGCCAACCGCCCAGTGCTTCTTGGTTTTCATTAATACCTCAACTGAGGTCAATCTGTGACCAGTTTATTTTACAAATCAAATCAATCTCCACAAGATCTTTTTTACTAAACTCTATTGCTTTTACTATTTTCTATACCATTATATAGAATGAGTGCTTCTCAGTGAATCTCTTTACAGTTTATAAAACTCACAGATGTAACTACATAGATATTTGGGATCTGCCGAGAATTCCTCGTTAGGGTCTTCAGAAGTCAGGATATATATGCGGACATTTCGTCCAATCAGCATACGCCACGAAAATGTTTAGTAGATGGACAGATTGTCACACTTTGATTGACTTCTTACTCTGGTACTTAAATTAGCATGCTTCCGAAGGTCAAAGGTTACTGATAAATCTATAATTGCTGTTGTTTTCTGTACATCAATGAGCCCTGGACTTTTTGTTACTTTGCTCCTTTTTCCTACCGTTCGAAGCTCCAGTGTGGGAGAATTCTCGCAAACTAGAAACCAGCCATGAAGTGAGTATCAAACGTTCGAATTAGAAACAGAAGTGTCAAAATATTTATTGTTTAGAATTCTCAAACCGCTACCGAGTACTATATGGAATCTTTAGAAAACTAGTTATTTGAATAGTTGTCTACTATAACCCTTTGCCTTCCTTAAAATTCCACCTGTTGTGATCTGATATCATCTGTCTTATTCCTGACATGGTGTGATCCTATCGGTCACGAATTTCCCCTTTAAACTTCCCTAACTTACTCACTAGTGAACACACCTCAATTGTCGTAGATAGAGATTTAAGGATCGTAGATTCGAATGTCCACTGCTGAAGAGTACCAAGAAAGATCGAAAGATTTAGAACAGGAATCAAATTAAATCACTTTCAGGAAATAATTTCCAGTGATCACATAATAAAAAAAAGTGACTGGTAAATACAAACCACTGAATAATCATCATGTTCCAGTATTGAGAATTCGGTGGATAGTTTGTTCATCGTATTGATTACATATTATGTTTGATTTATTTATTGATATTGTTTTTTTCTAAATTATCATTTACCGAGACATATACATATTAATTTCAGGCAGTCAAGTACAACAGTTTTGTTCTTATGGTACCCGTACTGAATGCTCAAAAGTTAAATCACGAACTGGTGATAAGAAACGGTGTAATAAACTTCATTTCCGTAAAATTATACACCCACATACGGATGGTAAGTACATATGTTATAATTATGTATAAGGTCGGCGAAACTAAAACGTAGAATCATTTCATGTAGCCACTATATAATGCCAACGTCCTAGTTTGGATTCTTGTAATTATCATGATTAATGATTGGAGACGTATGAAATTACTAAAAATTGGTCACAGTGACGTAAATATATTCACTCTTTCTTTTCATTTATGTCTTCAGTCCTAGTATTCATTCATTTATATCCTCTCATTCCAATTTCCCAAACTGCTTTTAATAATATGACTAGTCTTGCTATCGTATTAATGTAGTACACCTGAGAGTGAAAAGAATATTTGAAACCGTCCGTTACATCACCTACCATGCAGTTTGAATAGAACAAAAATAAAAAAATTAGGAATGTTACATAACTCAGAAGCCTAACTATCTAACGGACACAACTGTGTCATTGTGATCAATTTTTCATTAAGTCGCCCAACGTATCTAATCATTATATGCGACTATAGTGCAGTTACCCCTCCTTCCAACTAGGATGTTAGGGGTTTCAGACATTTTCTCTGGCTAGCGTTTTCTAGCGAGTTAGTTTTCTACGGGATGGGGTCTCTAACCCCATGCCCAAGCCTCCTCTTTTACCCGGGTTTGGGATCGGCAGTAAATCTAGAGGAGCTACAGGCGGAGTTGGTTTCAGACATGCCCTCGATAATTATCAGTTCATGATTTCACCCTAAATTTTCTGTGATACAGTCTGAAACTACCTAAATGAATTTGTAAGTTCACTTAAAGTCTTATTTTTCTAATTTCAGAATCTCTTGGAGACTGTTCATTCTTGAATACTTGTTTTCATGTTGACACGTGTAAAGTAAGTATAAAGTAGTATACCATGATATTTATTTGTTTTCTGCTTTTAGTCATTAAGTTATAGGTTTGAACCCGTCTCATGTTCGTTTTTGGCTAATTAATTAGTAGTAGTATTCCTAGCCCTTACACAATTAGTATGACTCAAAGCTGAGTACATAAACGTGTACAGGATAATTGTGTTACTTCTAATGATATGTAGTCAAATAGCTTTGCATAAATATTGTAAAAGCCGCATCGTCTGCTGTTAATTTCCTAGTTCAACTGTCTCCGTATTTATCATTCCAATCAATTTATGCCCAGATATACATATGAAGCAGTCAACATCGTGAGCAATACTAATAGCTACACTGTTACTACAAAATCGAAGAAAAATTTGTCATGAATCTTTGTACTTTTTTTTCTAATAACGTAAGAAAACTTCATATTATCTAATTCATTTATATTGGTTACTGGAATGTTCCCATTGATGTTTAGTACGGCAATTAATCAATCGCTTGAAGCATCCTGTGCGCATTACCTTGATATTGCCATTAACTCACAAGCGTTATAAGTGTATATGAGTGATGGCTGACATTAGAATCCATGATGTGTGTTTCGTCCTATTTATTGTTCGTCAGCTGAATTTGCCTACAATCGGAAGTAAGTCAATAAAAAAGTCCAGTGAAATGTTGAATGTTAACGGTTCGAATACTGTTAAATTTGATTGGTATCCAATTCATTAAGATTTGGTTGAATATGAATGTTTATGATTACTTTTCTGCATTTGGAATCCGTGTTGTATTGGATGGTGCCCGAAATATAATACACACCAACCCCTCCAACTGACTCTTTGAGTGCAAATATGAGAGTGGATGATAAAGTTTATTGAACTACCGAATAAAATGCACAAGTACTCATATATATATATATATATATATATATATATATATATATATATATATATAATCATTTCTGATTGGTTTACCATATCAATCTGCTACTTCAATCGCTAGCTTATGTAATAAACAATACATTGTGTACATTCCTATGCAAATTTTTTGATTGAGATCATGAACCGATTGATGTTAGACCCCTATTGAAAATCTGAAAGCACTGGACGGCCTTTTCGTCCGATTGTGGGGCTCTTCAGCAGTGAGCATCCACACAATAGAACGAAACGGCCGTCCAGTGCTTCCAGGTTTTCAATGATGGTCTAACATCAATAGGTTCATGATCCGATCAAAAATTTAACATTCTCCACAACCCCTAAACTATGCAAATTTATTTTTGTCTTAACAATTAAAAAACACGACTGATAAATAAATGTATGCTGTTTTTAGTCGTATCATTTTGATAATTACTCTTATCTACCTTCCATTTCTATGTGCGTATGACCACTTGTGTACATCTGCATGACCATTATTCGACTATATAAACTCAGCCAGTAATTTAAACAGGGATTCAACTAATGTATTAAATCCACACACATACCTACACATTATACAATTGATCAATATAGCAATTCGCGGAGCACAATTATTGATCGCCACATCAATCCATTCATCACACTCCATACACTATATAGGATTCTCACTTCTCACTATTGTTTGTTCTTCGTACACGTGATCTTTTTAATACATTCGTGTAAAATATATACATACCTTTCTAAAACATTTCGTATCCAATAAATCTGTTAGAAAACAGAATAAGTCTAAGGATATATATACGAAATTTTAACGTGAATTCAATAATCGAGATTATAAATAAACAGTGGGAAATGAGGTGGTACTTGTAACTAACACTCTCCATTCTTAAATGATCAATTCTTCTAATTCTCACATAAGTCACCCTACTTATTATCATTGATTTTTTAAATTTTCTTTGTTATTTTAGTATGTTCATTACACAATAGATTATACAGATAGTGTTAATCAACAATTAGATGGTGGTGTTGCTACTCGGAATGTGTTAAATAATAAGAAAAATAATCAAAATGGTAATAGTTCTACAACAAATACAATGTCTTCGTCATCATTATCAGTATCATCGTCACAAATCAACACATCTTCAATAGATTCAATTGATGACGGTGTCAGTGGCGGTGGTGCTGTAAAAGACAATGGAACATCACTAATTTTATATCCACCTCAGGTAACGTTATATATATATATATATATATATATATATATATATATATATATATATATCATTTATTTATTTATTCGAAGACATAATTATTGGTATAAAGGTGCACCATACACAACAAGAAAATGTGGTTGTGAAGAGATAGAGGAAGGAAAGTGAGTATAATAAATAAACATAATAATAGATGAATAAAAACTAGTGAATGCGAGTAGCAAATAATGATAGGATCATTTCACTTGAGAAAAATATACAGCCAGAAAGGATTCTTTCAGTTCAAGAACTTACTCTCACTTTTACAAAGTAAAATCCCTAGTTATGTCTCAAGCTATTGTGTTGAATTATCTTTAGGATCTCAATGAGGGAGTAGTGAAAAAACAACAGATTTAAATCCTGTACAGCTTTCTTTCGCACCCCGGCTCTATGTCATAAACCACTTTTTCCAATCAGCTCAGGCGTTGTCAAATAATGTACGATATGGAATTCATTGGCATGGTATTCGTAATATGTGTCCAAGTCACTAAACTCGGTGTTTCAAGGTGGTGACACTAACTGAATTATCGTTATTGTGCCCAAACGTATGTTGACCGACCTCTGGGTTACTAACATGACGTTGGCATTGAATATCAACAATCTTTCGGAAACAGTAATCACCGAGCATAAAGAGTTCTCTCCATTCAGAGTGGCTAGGTTTCACAATCACAGAGCAAAACTTGATCGATAGCATTCGATCTGCACTAATAAGGACTAGACAAGCATGACATTGATCACCACCCAGTGATCAATCAATTGTGAAAACTACTCTCACTCACGCGTTGTTGACCCGACCTTTACAGCCACATTCACATGACGAAGGGACCAAAGATGGCCCAGATTGGCATGAGCTACTATGGCTTTCACTATACATAAATTGGTCTCTTCAGTCACGCCACCACCAGGGCTTGGACCAGGTTAGTGAATATTGAGGGCCTACCTAGGATAACTGAAAACTATAATTCTAAACCTTATCTCCTAAATTCGCCCACTGCTTTGTCGACTAGGCCTCTAGGTTAAAGGCTCGAGGGCTAAAAAAGCCACCTGATTCGGTCTGGGAGTCCGTGCAGTATCCTAGCCTACATGCAACTATAAAGAAAATTATCAATGTGTATAGGTATTTACTGCTCTGTCCAATAAGTCGATGAACTGGACTCATAAATATTTATTCTATAAAACACGAAGTGTTTCAGTCTTATTTCCTTTAAAGTCCTTCCAATTTGTGACAACATATTTATCTCACCCATGCTTTCACTGACGAAAACATCCCTGAAGGACTTTCAAAGTTATGTTCTTCATCTGCTTCTCTATTTCATTTTTTATCACTCCCACAATAACTCAATATCGCACCCATATCAACATTTTTCAGTCTGTCAGTCACAACGCATAACTTATACGTATGTACATCGGTTCAACTTGCCATACCCTATTCGCACAGAGAGCTGAAATTGTCAGGCCAAGTTTCAGAATATTAGATCTAGCAACAGTATTAGTGGTAATAGGAAAGATTAGATATCAAAGATACAACTCGAAAAGAAAGTATGAATCAGTGAAATAAAACAGTTGTGAGGGGTTTTATATTTGAAGGAAAACAGAATAAATGCACATACACCATTGCAAACGATTTTGAATCATGTCATTCAAAGTATGTAATCATTGATTACGATAATCACAAGAACCCCAACCAGGTAGTCTATACCTATCAACATGACTAATTTCAATTGCTAGTGACTTCATGGACTGATGCCATGTTTCGGTTTGGTTTTTAGCCTGTAAACATAAGGAACTCACAGGGACTATGTCTGGTGGTAAGTAAAAAGGGTAATCAGACGTGACGATCGAATTATCTGTCAGAAACTCGAACGGTTATTGTAGGTTTTACAAGTTCGTTCTTGGAATACCACGGCTACATCCGTCGATATCTAAAAACTCTGGTCATATCGGATCTTACAGACACTTGAGAATCTTTACTCAAAGGTCAGTTGGTATGTGCTCTTCAAGAAGAAATACGTAGTGGACAATATCCTGGATTTTGCGCAGTCATTAGGCAGGCAATATATATTTACGGTCTAATCATTAATTTTCAAAGTATGTCAAGTGGGCAATACTTCTAACTACAACTATTAATCATAGGATCAATATCCAAGTTATTTTGATCAGTCTATTAAAGTTTTCATATCAATTTTTAACTCGCATTATTAAATGTTTCAATAAATTAATCATAACTTGTTTACGACAGCCTCCTTGAATTCAGTAAGTATTAAGAGTTTGGTATATTTTACGGAAGGCTGTTTGATTTCTTAGTAGCTAAATTAGTTGTTTATGTATTAAGTTGAGGGTTCGAGCTCCGCCTCATCCAACGCAGTTTAAAGAATAGAATCGTATTGTGGTATGTGTTACTGATTTCGACAGATATAAGTAGTTTGTATCACCAATCGAAAGTGGAATGCCTGGTGGAAGGTTGAGATCAAAGAGGAGAGAACGAGAACAGAGAGTAATTGGTATAGAAATATAGTCTAAGACAATTGATGGATATTTTGCAAATGAAGTATTTACTGTATTGTTCTCAGATTTTACTGAGATTCTGTATTCAAATACAGCTAGTTGTCCTCACCCGCGTTCTCATTCACTGCAGTATCACTACATAAACAATGTAGGTTAAAGCCATTTACATAAACTTTTACTTGGTAAATGAGTTACTAAGCATGTGTTTTCCTTGAAGCAATGGAATTATTGGAAACCACTGATGTCGCACCTTCAGAGATTCATTCCGTTCGTCCTATTTCGTAAAAAAAACTTAATCATAATATGTTCCTCAGAGGCTAAGAAGAAGTATTAATGCAGTGGTGAAATTAAAAATGAAGTATCGCGTAACGCATGTTAGAGGAACTTGTCCTATTATTGTCCGTCCGTTCCAGCTAAAGAAGGGCATTTCTTAGGAAAATACATAATTTTTTATCCTCCTTTCATAATTTTCTACTACTGAAGAGGCAGTGGTTATAACTGCTGGTAGAGTGCTTCAGAATGCATATACTGTTGAAAAAGTAATAACTCACTTGATACACAATACTGCGAATAAGATTACTGATTTTCAAGTATTTGCTATCACTTTCCCAGTGGATTAACTGTGATATACGGCTGATAAATATGTCAATCCTTGGAAAATTTGCTGTGATTATGGCTGATCCACCATGGGATATACACATGGAACTGCCCTATGGAACAATGTCAGACGATGAGATGAGACGATTAGATATACCTTGTTTACAAGATGATGGTTATATATTCCTATGGGTAACAGGAAGGTCAGTGAATGTTTTTTTCTCATTTAAATTACAACTAATAAGCTCGATTTTAATGTACACTAGTGATGTTTTGTTCTATACCAGGAGATCTGAAAATCGTTCTTCCAGATATTTAAGTTCCACTTTTCGGGTTATGTGTTTAAAAAATATGTTTCAGATTGGATAGTTCCACAAAGTTATGTGATGTGTGAATCTACTTCGAATGTTACTTAATTTAAATGGTGAACCAATTGTTACATATGCGTATTACTCTACTTATCTTGACATGTGATGCTAATTAGCATAGTAGATTAAAACAACGTTCATAACCATCAAATTAAAGCGTAAGATCAGTTCATGGAATAACTGATTGTTGACTTATACCATATCGAGATATGTGTACTTCCTGTAATTGGAGTTCACATGAGCAATTGTAGGATCTACGTAACTTTCTTTTAGTCTATTTGAGTTTTAGACATATTGCTGCTGTGGTGTGTAGCGTCTTAAACTGTCATATTCCTTAATAAAAACTCTGACACCTTTCTCAACTCTTGCTTCAAAACTCTGTAGTTTGGATGATTACCTTCTAGTTATTTTTTATTTTAAATCACAGAGCTATGGAACTTGGTCGAGAATGCTTACGTTTATGGGGTTATGAACGCGTAGATGAGATTATATGGGTTAAAACTAACCAATTGCAACGTTTAATTCGGACAGGACGTACAGGACATTGGTTAAATCATGGCAAAGAACATTGTTTAGTTGGTGTAAAAGGCAACCCAAAAGTAAGCTGAAAATAAATTTTATTAGTTATTCTTTATTCAATAAGAATGACCATTACTGGTTGGCGTCGACACTCAAACTAGCTGTAGGAAATGAAGTAGTTCAGTGGGTCAACTACTTCACTTATCTTGGAAGTCTCATAAATCATGGTGGGTTGGTATGTGATGAACTTTCGGTATGGATTCAATAAGCTCAATTCGTTTCTGCTAATCTACATCACTTGTGGTGTAGATGAGATCCCCGTATCCCAACCGTGCAGCAATACCTTTCTGTTCTACATGACGACAGCGAAATGTGACCTTTAAGAATTAAGGGTATTTGTAAACTATTAGTACTTGATCACAGATCCATTTAAAGCATTGCCCCCATACGTTGGGACCACCGAAAGAGCAGTGGTTAGGTCAGACGTAGGACATTAAGTAAATGTCACAAATCGACTGAGGTGGTTGTGGCGTGCATTACGTATACCCAATCACCGCCTACTTCGATGTGATATTTGGTATTGTGGTAAGTTAGAAGGAACCAATGATGGGCGGACCAGAACATATTTGTCCATGAGTGCATTGACTATTGACTGCAGACCATCGAGTTAGGGTCCGCATAACCACTGCAACCGACGATTAGAGATGAGTAACATGTATTAGAATCGGTCGCAGATGCATCCACTATTTGTCTACCGTTAAATACTGAGTTTATATTTTACCTTATACATTTTATACACAAATGGGTTCTTTTTAAATCATGTCTATGTTTGATCTTATCTATTACTACCGTTACTATTTCTACTATTCTCTCACTTGTGTTGAGAATTTTCATTTCGCTGCGTTAATGTGATGTGGCGACGTGAACCAATTTACATATGTACCAGGTTGTATGTTACGTCTGACTAACTTTATTTTGGGGGACAATTTTAATTATATTCTTACACTGATATTCGTATTTTTCATAAGGGTGTAAATCGAGGTCTCGACTGTGATATAATTGTCTCTGAAGTTCGTGAAACTAGTCATAAACCTGATGAAATCTACGGTATAATTGAACGATTATCTCCTGGTACGCGCAAGCTCGAATTATTTGGACGTCCTCATAACTTACAGCCTAACTGGTAAGAATCTAAACATTTAATCAGTATATTAACTAAACAAAGTCATCGAGAAAAGCATATATATTAATTTTACTCTGAAACCAGAGAATTAAACTGTGTCAAACATGCAATATGAAGAGTAAATCCATGTTCATTTTTCAGACATGTATATTCTAATTTAGATTTACACTAGAAACATAAATCAAAATGATAAAATAGTATTTATTGAGTTATCTAAAAATATTTTCACTTCCATGAAAAAGTACTTGTTTAACACCAAGATCTAGTTCGCACAATATATGTGACCTTTCAGTATTTTATGTAGTAGCATATTAAACAAATCAGGCGTAGTATGTTATTTCAAGGTAGGAGAGTGTTAATTAGAATACCATCTACATAACAATTGGCCTAGCACGAATCATTGTAGGCAAAAAATCTACACAGCGTCGATTTTGTTCTTGTTGTCAGTTACTAGTAAACCAATTAAAATCATATGGATAGTAGTTCATTGTTTGTTTCAAGTTCTTATAAATGCACATATGAAAATTCTGATCACCAGAAAGTGGTGGTACAACCAATGAGGCACTATACTTGACTAATCACTCACTAGCGACTAGTGTCATGTCTACCTAGTCATTCTTTCAGCCGTAACGGGATTTTACTAATTAGGTTGCTATGTGATTAATAGTGTGAGTAAATCATCATCACGTTCATTATATTTAGATGTTAGATGGTTGGAGCTAGGTTTCTCACTAGTTTTCCCTCGTCAGCATGGCGTACTTGCAGTCTCGAGGGGACTGGTGCTCCACCGGAGATCCGGACTTGCATCGTCCGCCGTGATACTCTGGAACACTACTACTTGAATAACTCAGCGGTAAGATCCTAGAATGTAAAGCTGGGTGACGTGAGTTTCAATCACACAGGAAGCATTAGTTGCTTCAAGATTGCATGCAAGTCATACGGATCAGTGCTAATTAATGCGAAACTTGAGTTCAGGACTTCCTCTTTTCACTTAATTAAGGCAATAGAATGTGAAAACTGCATCCTGTTTCCTAAATGTTTGATCCTAAAATGGATCTAGCGTGCTCAGTTAAAGCGTCTGCAGAGGAAACGATGAAACAACCTGCTCCCTGATTCTTACTATCTGCTCACTACTTAATAAATGGTCCACCATAAGATTAACAGTGCTATTTCATACTGTTAGTGTTTTTCACTTTTGTTTTAATCTTTTAACAAAAAAATCCCACAGGATCACGCTTGGAAACCAACTGGACGGAACTTATCTGGTTGATCCAGCAGTTGTTGAAAGATTTAAAAAACACTATCCAAATGGTTTGGATATAAAAGTGAAATAAAAACTAGACTACCATGTATTAATTCTGATTTATACATACATCTGTACACTCGATTTATAAACTCATTGTAAATATTGTAAAAATATAAAGAATATTACTGTAAAGAAGTTTTCTAATATAGAGAATGTCACTTGCTCAAACTACCGTTTTGATTAGTTGAGTATTTCAACGTAAGGAATCTAACTCGCTAGTTGTGATAACTATGTTTAAACCATTTTGTATCCATGGCATATTGAGTAAATCTTTTGTAGATGGACGTTGTTTTGGATCATAATGCGTACAAGCTTTGTAGATTGCTTCCATTTCAGCACTGGGCGGATTAGTTTCATTCTTGTTAAGAAAATGGGAGATAAACAGGAGAAATGGAATGACAAAATATTTTAGCGAAAATGAGTGTAAACCCAGTAGGATACAAAAATTTACGGGACAACTATGGCAGAAACGCAACATCCATACATATATATATATTTATTTGAACACATAAATCTGGTACAAGGGGGCACCAGATACATATGCGTCACACAAATCTTATTTGATTTGTGTGAGGGCTGTGATACCGCCCGGGTGTCCAAACGGAGTCAGGATACATATAACTGAATCTGAAGGCTAACATGATCTTACTAGCTATTAATATTGATAGCTGAATACTGTCTCGTTAAATGTAATTCAAAAATAATAGTAGTAGTAAAGATTGGGCGTAGACAATATGATTCAGGAAGACTCATTATTTAACGAGAGATAAAGGAATGAGCATCTGAACCGTTGCTACTAGTTTCAAACCATGTCGCCCGACGTACCCAGTCATTAGTAACGATAACTGCGCAGACAGGAACTAGATAGTCTGCACCTACCTACACTGCTAAATAAGGTTAAATGAAAGAAATCTAGCATACCCAGTATATTTGGAAAGCGATAAAAAGAGCACACCTAACGGTAACATGAATTTCATACCTGTCTGGAGGACTAAATTGGATTTATGTAAAACGACCCGGTGGTGTTTGATTGTACTAGATTGAAGTTTAATATACGTTTGGATAAAAAAAAATATTAGGAGTGGGTCTCAATATCAATTAACTACCTATCTTAAATATTTCAAAAGTTACTAACTGCGTACATCTAATAGTTATAAATGAACCTGCAAAGTTTTCTGTACAGAAGTAACAAAAACTTCTAACCTGATTTCAGTGAACGCCCACTCTTTAATTACTCCCCGTTTACTCGTATATCGAATGAGACGTGAACATTGATTTATCAAGCTATGCGAAATTGATGGTACTAAGCATGCCCATGAAAAAAAATAATCTACTTGATTTAAGAAAATCGGTTAGGACCCTTTTATTCAAATGTGGACTGATAATTGGAATATTATCAAGGTACGCTTGATTATATTACAATTCACTATCATCCATTAACTTAAGATTTAACAGTAGATAGCGAGGCATTTTTAGTTGAGGTGTACGATGAACTCAAGAGCTGGGAAAACTTTAACTGATTACCGCTAGTTGTTGGAGAGTTATGAATAGCACATAGTGGATAGTTTGTTGCAAAGACACAGCAAAGGATTACAGAAGTTTAGTGTGTTGTGTGCGGAAAGCCTTCAGAATATGGATGAAGTTAATTCTGATTACCATTATATTTTAACAAAATATTTTTTGTAAGGAATTGGAAGGCAGATAATGACTCGTTCAATAAGTTTCATCACTGGTCGACAAGCAGTATATAGTGAAAACTACAATAAATAGTGTCTGTAAATACCATTTTACTATTTTATCAACCTTACTGATAATTTGCATGTCGCACTGTGACTAACTGCATCAGATGGATGCTGATGGATTAAAGTTCATTTCGTTCTACAATATATACAAAAAGTGAACAAGTGAGGTGAATTTGCGTAAACAAGATAATTTAACGAAAGCAATGTAACATTTCCAAACCGGATTACGTATAGAAAGTGAGAGAACTGAACTATATACGTTGTGGAGTAAATTGTTCGCCTTTTTAATGGTTAAATCCATACGGTGTGGAATGTAAAAAAGAGATTAATGAGTTAGAAAAACTAGCAACAAAGTAATCAATAACGTATACCTGTTTACAAAAAGCTTCACACTTAATCTAATGAAATTTTAAATTTAACAAGAGCATCTTATATAAACTGCTTATGGGGCCAATGTATGGATAATTTCGTTGGTCGACAACTTACAGGTACGATTCGCATACAATTCATCTTCACATGATTTTACCGATGGAAAGCAGTGGAGATCCCAGTCAACAAATTGTAGTTTTTGTATCAACTGACGACTCCTTGGTACATGGTTGCGCGCCGATTACGAATCATGAATATAATACGCCCAATTGTGCTCATCTAGTTCTATCTGCCTTAAATAGCACTATTTCGTAAATCTTTAGTACATTAATTCGAATACTTGTAATTGACATACAAATTTATCAGTTTTTATTTTTTAAATCATATGCTTTTGGACGTAATTTCAACTAAAGAGGGTCTATATATTTAGAAAAAAAGAACTTACATAGTGAAGTTGAGGGAAATCTAGCTGGAGCATTTTCTTCAGGAATATAAGAGAAGGAGGACATCCTATATATGGCGGTTGACCAGTGAACATTTCGTACAAAATAAGACCTAAACTGTATATATCTGAAGACCACGAATATCCATTAAAATCCTGTGCCAATAACTCCGGGCTGTACCATGCTACTGGATGGCTATATGATTCACCCCCTGACGACTCATGCAACCTCCAACCACGCCATGCAACATAAAGGAAGGGCAGATCGTTTCGCGCCACAGTACTCCAGGATGGTGGTAGCTGTGCCATACTTCCCAAGCCGCAGAGAACCACACTTAATTTATGAGACTTTGAGTTAGGATCTAACGTTTTTTTGAAAAGTAGATGTTTCGAACATAAACCTCGATGAAGTAAACCACTATTATGCAATTGGTCAAGGCACAATACTACTCGGCCCATAATGGCGCATACCAGTTTTTCGTTCAAACCTCCCTCTTTCTTACAAAGAATATCGTGTACAGAGCCATAATCACTGAGAGGATAATGCAATGTCAGTGAGGTTTTGTCCAAACAAACACTGGAAGGGAGACTCAAGTAAGTGTGGTCCACTGGTGAGTCAGATGTAGGATTATTTTTTATGTGAGTAGACGACAAATTCCGAATCATATTCATAAAATCAAGAAGTGTTGAAAGACTAAATCTATCACAAACATCCAACTGAATTTCTTTTGACCACAATTTTGACTTAAGGTCGATGTGATGCTGGACTGCTGGTTGTATGTCAGTATGCCAGGAACTGACGTTTTCGCCTGACATGTTATCCAAAGACGAAGATCTATTTTAGAATAAGTAAATTTTAGGCATGGCAACTTACATGAAAGCCTCATCGCATATCATTGCAAATATATTTCAGACGTCAACAGGTTTATGTCTATTCTATGCGTTGTCTTTCTTCAGATGAGCGAAAATTCGAGTTTTATTGTGGAGTTGAAAAATTACAGTGTATACGAAAACGAGGAAGTAATCCGGAAAACAAATATGCGAGCGGAAATAAAAATCCCGAATTCTGAGGCAGATGAGTCCCAGAACCCTCAAAACTCACAGCATACACTTACATTGAGTACTATGTACAATCAACAATTATGAGGGATTTGGAAGTGAACGAGGAGCAGCCAGAAGATAGAAAATATCTAACACCTAACAGTCTCAAGGTCGACGAGCGTCCTTCGGATTTGAAGTTGGCGAAGAATTGAAATGAATGAGTAAGGCTGGGAGTATCAGTGCCTTGGTACCATTTTTCAGGAAACAGATATACAAGCCTTTTGATAGGGAAAAAACTGTAGTATTAGAACACCACTACATGTTGTGGCGTTAAATAAGTCCCCAAAATAAATAGCTCTGTAAGTTTTCGACATTGGATGCTGGCCATATGTTTTAGTGGACTCATCTGGCTGAAGGCGCTCGGTCCTGCATCCGCATCAGATCACGTGTGGTAAATCTGTGCTCAACATCTACAGCAATCGCTAGCCGGACTAGATCAGAGAATTCCGATATATTGGTAATCGCCAAATACACTCTTCCGATCTCGACTCTGTCTTTTGATTTCTCTCGGTGGGTATGAATTATATTGGGAGGTGTTGCTGGTAAAAGCGTTGCCAAACACTGAATACCTGTGTCATCTTCAATGTCTAAAATAACTGGTTTCTGAATGATAATCACAAACTAGGATAACGTTTTGTTCAAGCTCTGTTACGTTCATTCAGCACATCAAGCAACTCCTGCTGACTTCTATACAGTCTTTTAATGGAACTAAAATTATGGAACCGAAATAGACGACTGTAGTAGTAGATCCGAGTTATGTGTCATGGTGAACTTTTAAGTTCTGTATATTTGAGTTTATCGTATGCACCATGAATGATTGAGAATGCTCCAATTGGTTCATTTGATCGTTTGTTTGCTCGTGTGCCGCATTTTTATTCATTTTTCATGTGTTGAAATAGTACGCCTGACAACACCATAGGTTGGCTATTTTATTATTGCGAGTCGATTTCGCTGATTTATCACTGTCTGGTTGAAAGAGTAAGCGTGGTGATTGATTATCTTGTTACTTTTGAAGTAAGGAACGCACGAATTCCGAACCCAGTACTCTTATTTTTCTAGTCATTTTACACTTTAGACACGTGGGAGCGTACACAGTTTCTACGAGTTAAATTCGCTATGTCTCAATGAAACTCCTTATTCATAATTGGAAACTCAAAAAAATGTCCCTTCATCATTTGCTTTACAACTGAATTTAGACATCATTGGTGTTTTTTTTTCAGGGAAAACATTTGCAATGAAGCACATTATTCCGAAAAACTCTTATTATATCGAGTAGGTCGAAATATTTAGTCTAGCTAATGCAAGTCACGAGTGAATTTCTTGTTGCACTCTGACTTGAGTGAAAGCATTAACTATGTGTTGTCTGCGAATACAGCTGCATTCCAAATTTCACCAGAGTCAAGCCGCTAGAATACAACCCAATACATAAGTAAAAAACTCTTGTGTAACACATGGTACAATAAACTTACGTTATCTTTCTCAACTTATGGACAGAATTTGATAGCTCAGATAGTATGCGACTGTTGAGTCGTTTTGGCCATCGTGATGACTACATTCCTTTCATAGAAATTGTTGCCTTCAACACGTACACCTTTTATACTCATGCCCCTGTGGTTCTACACTTTTACATATATACTTGTATGTCTGCAGACGTGTTACTTTTTCTAATATTTGTCTAACTGCCACGCTGTGCATTCCCTGTTTTGGGTTATAATACTGTCTTTAATGATTATTATTTTTACATGGGCTGAAAAGCCTCCCTCCATTTCATACTTCTGACCATCTGTATGCGTAGGTAGACGACTCCGTTTGTAGCCTTTTTGAGGTTTCTGCCGGTCTCAAGCTTCGTTAAAGAAGAGTTGGGCATAAAGTCAGTAAACTCATCCCGCAGAAAAAACTCGCTAAAAAGCGTTAGCCAGAAAAACAATTCAAATCATTTAAACTCTAAACTAGAAGCTAAAGGATATTTTCGTAGAAGAATTATGGCACATTATGGCTAGGACCGAGATCTTCGATGCACCTTCTGACAAACAGAACAACATTGAATATAGGTACGTGGAATGTCAGGACAGTGTAGGAGACTAAGATGGCCAGCCAAATAGCTGCGGAGATACAACTTAACGGGTCAAGGGATGAGTGAAACCGACTGGGTCGGAGATCGACAGTAAGTATTACATTTGGAAATGATACTGTGATACTCGATTCAATTGCTTCGCACACACGGGATGTTGCACTGATGGTATCTAAAATAGCAGGAAAAGCGTTCATAGGATGGAAATATCATAGGTCCATGATCATTAGGACACTCTTTTAAACAAAGAAGAACGGAATTAAAATGAATGTTATTTAAAGTGAAACTGACCAGTTTTATAGGGGACTGCAACCGATCGTAACAAATTCCCAAAGAAAGAACCTGATGGTAGATCCAAACACCACGGTCGGAATGAACATCACCAGGTATGAAAATATCATGAGACGACATGGGATATGAGAAAAAGACGTAAATAGTGAGAGATTTGCAAATGCATATACCCTCATCAGCATTATATCCTCCTAACACACAAAGCTACACAGGTCTCACTGGACTACACTACAGATAATCGGTTCGATCATGTTTCCGTCAACAAAAGGTTTAGAAAATCAGTGGAAAACGTGTGAAGTAGGAGAGGAAACGACACTGCTCCGCATCAACATCTGGTTAAGGTCGTGATGAAAGAGAAGCTAAATAAGCATTTGACAAACAACATTACAAACTCGTAATATAGCGAAAACAAGAGCGACTAGTCAGGAAAAAAGAAGGTGAGTTAATCACTGAGATTCAAGAAAAGAGGAACAGATGGGTAGAACGCTCTGAGGAGCTCTTGAACAAACTAGCTCCACTGAATCCACTGGACATTGAAGCAACACACACAGACCTTCGTATGGACGTCATTCCACCAATAATTAAAGAAATTGGAATAGTCACTTGACAAATTCTGAGTAGAAAAGCAGTAAAGCCTAACAATATTCTAAATGAAGCACTGAAGTCAGCTATACGGGTGGCTACAAAGATGCCTCACGTCTTATTCATAACGTACATGAAGGAAGAAAGTGTTCCGACTTACTGTATTGAAGGATGCCTCAAAGAAACTAGAAAAAGATCTCAGTAAGTGTGAGAACTACAGAGGAATCACACTAATATCAGTACCGCGAAAAGCCTGCATTAGAAAGCCATTAAACCGGGTTAAAGATTCGGTAGACGCCCAACTTTGAAATAAACAGGTTGGATTCCGTAGGGATAGGTCTTGCACAGACCAAATTGCGACACTACGGATCATCAATGAACAATCAATTGAATGATGCTCATCGCTATACACCAACTTCATTGACTGTGAGAAAGTACTTGACATTGTGGATAGGAGGACCTTATGGCAACTTCGACACCAATAAGTGCCTGAGAAAATCGTCAATATCATACGGAGTTCATACGACGGACTACAGTGCAATGTCGCGTATGGAGGTCAGCTAACTGATTCGTTCCCCCTTCCTCCCTCTTCCGATGGTTGACTGTATTATGAAGACCTATATTTCAGGAGAAGCACGGAATACAGTGGTCAGCTTGGATTCAGTTAAACAATTTGAATTTAGCGGATGACCTGGCTTTTCTATTTCATACATACCAGCAAATGCAAATGAAGACAGCTAGTATAGCAGAAGCCTCTGAATCAGTGGACCTCAACATGTACAAAAGAGAAAGCAGAATTCTCAACTACAACATGGAGAACATCAATTCAATCACACTTGATGGAGAAACTTTGGAAGAGGTGGAAAGCTCCATTTATCTGAGTAGCATCATCAATAAAAGTGGAGGATATGATGCAGACATACAGAGGGGGATTAGTCAAGCAAGAGCCGCATTCCTGCAGTTGAAGAACATACAGAACCTAAAACAACTGTCAATCAATACAAAAGCTAAACTCTTCAATACGAGCGTCAAGACAGTTCTGGTGTATGGAGCTGACAATCAAAGAGCTACTACGAGCACCATCAAAAAAGTACAAGTATTTATAAACAGTTGTCTGTGTAGGATGATCAGTGTCCGTTGACCAAATACCATCAGCAACAGCTTACTGTGGAAAAGAAAAAGCCCGCATTCAATTGAAGAGCAAATTAGGAAAAGGCCCTGGGGCTGTATAGGACATACATTATGGAAATAATCTAACTGAATTATGCGGCAACTGATAACTTGGAATCCTGAAAGGAAACGGGAAAGAAGGAGACCAAAGAACGTACTGCGTTGAGAATTTTAAGTAGGCATGAAAAGGATGAATAACAACTGGAAACATTTGGAAATGATTACCCGTGACTGAGTTCGGCTGATCATACAGGTGGGCGGTCTATGCTCTCGCTCAAGCGGTAACAGTCGTAAGTAGGCAACTGTAAGCGGACGTTTGAAACGAACTCTTCATATTGGGCCTATTTTTGGCACATATTACCACCACTGACCGACGGGATTAATTTAAGTCTTATATATGGAATTAAACGGGAGGTTCATTCTTCGTCACTGACAGTGGAGTCAGATCCCAGGCAACGAAGCTACTGAATGCTGGATGCTCCGGATTAGTGATCTTCGGTTTTAGGTATAAAAATGTAAAAGGTTACTGCTTTTCGTCCATTTGATGCTTAAATTATTGCCCCAGTTTATTAGGCACACGACTAGAGATATGGAACCGAAAGCTTCTGTTTAGCAATATGTCAAGCGTGGGGCTCCAGCTCATGTTTGCAAGACATTGACGGAGCCTATCTTACTAACGTCG